CTGCCAGGACAGGAGTTATCTTTATCTGTTGGCTATGGGGTGGAACATTGTCTACCAGTTTCGCAGGGCTCAGAATGAGATTGACCAATATTTGAAGATTATTCCTCTTATCACTCTAGTGGATAATGCTCGAGTCAGGGTATGGAGACATTGCTCTTTTATCCATAGTGCTGCCGTTCCGCTTTATATGCTTCCATTATCTGTTTGTTTCATTGCACTTCCATCTTAAGATCTATATTTGTTGTTTCTCATTTTTGTTGATGACATGGCGGGGATATATTAGAGTTTGATAAGTTCATGATTTGAAGTCGGAATAATTGGTCATAATTCAACTCCTGGTCAGGTCATTACCTTGTTTTGATACTCTGTTGTTCAGATCCTTCAAACTCCTTGCCGTACCCTTGTCGATCCGACACGATTTGGGTGTGTGTGGGATCCGTGCCAAGTAGTATAGGTTGATAGGGTATTTGGTTTGATTTTGGGTGTATGTCATATAAATATTCACACAAAGTACTAAAACACTTTGTTATTATACGAATTACTTATGAAGAAGTATGTTGAGTTGATATTTGGTTTGATTTTGGGTTTATATCATATGTACTCGCTTCTTGTAATGCATGACAGAGGATGAAAAGTTCTTTTAACAACAATCAGCTCTTTAAGCTACTATGGAAACTATAGAATGTTTGTTGATTCTTGATATGGAACAAGTAATCTTTTCTCAGAATTTGAATGAGAGAGCAGGCCCATATACTTTTGGATATTGAAGATATTTTGAATCTATTACAACGGACAAGGGTCAGTAGTATTTTTTTGCTATTTCATCCATCTTGGTAGAATCGCTTTAATCATCTCTTGAGGTGAGATTTTCTTATCAAGTTTGAGTAGGAGAAAATTGCAGTGGTTATAAGACAGTGCATCTGTTACAATAAGAGCAACCTGCTACTTTACCTAATTTCTTGTTTAATATCTACTCATGCATGATTATAACCGCATATACATGCATATGGACTGCTACTGCTCACAATTGGAAAGAATATATACATACATATACTTTGTGTGAACACTAACCGATATCTGTTCTATCCCAAGTTGATAGATCTTGCTTTCCATATGTTGACAGGAGAGGTTGGAATTTATTGAAAGGGACCAGCATGAATACACATTGGAGGCTGAAGACATGAGGGTGCAAGAAGTGATTATGAAACCAGAGCCTTCTAAAGATGATACCATTATATTAACGAAGAACCTTTCTTGTTCCTACCCAAGAGTACCTATCAATGAGGCAATTAAAAAAGAAAATGAAAAACTGCAACTAGAATTGCAACGCTCACAAGCTAATTTAGATGTAGGTCAGTGTGAATTCATTCAGCATCTTCTGGATGTCACAGAGGTAGTTGCCACTAACTCTCTATCATTGAAGAGTTCACCTACCAAGCCTCCCAAAAAGTTGGATGAAAGTTACTCAAATGTCGATAGTTACACGGAACATTACGTTGAAAGTTATGCCAAAAGTGAAGAGAAACGGGAAACTTCAAGGTAAGTAAAAGATAATATGATTTTTGCTAAAGTATGGTAGCTAAACTGTAATTCTCTATGGGAGGCTGTATCTCTTAGACTCGTAAATCAAGTGCGAGGATATGGTCCATATTGCCTGCCGTCAACTGATTCTTTTAAATGCTTAA